ACAACCTTTAAGCCATTTGCTTAGAAGATAGGGGCACGACTCTATGTAGCGTCATGGTGTTACGAACTTCGAGCATCCATCAAATTTTGATACTAACACAATTCCCTTTTATAAATATATGGTTTCTAGGCACTGCCACCAGAGGAGAGTTCTTTGTAGAGAAAATTTCAAATCGAGATTGATGAAAATATATAGAAGGCAAGGAAACCATTATAGAGGTGAGGAAAGAGATTTTTAAAGCTCAAGATCATGGAGATTGATTTAGGGATGACAATGGGTACAACATGATTTATTTCTTCTTTTTTCCCTGGACTTTTTGTGATTTTGTTATGGAATACATAGCATGAGTTTTATTGGTTTATTTGAATTCTGAATAGCTAAATTTCTTGTTATTAGGGATTGATTTAGCCATTGAACTATATGGATTGATTATTTAATAATTCTCTTTGGAAGGTTCTATTTATGTTTCTCCATGGTTCATGCTTTTAATCAACTAACCATAGTTTAATTGATAGTAGACTTAAAATCTTATGCTCATGAGAGGTAATTAATTAGAGTCATAAATGGAGATGCATAACGGAATGAATTTTAAGATCGAGAGATTTAACTATGAGTCTGATCAATCCTTATTTATTGCTCTCTCTATAATTAGAATAACGAATCTCTGGATCATCTCTTTCTCCATTGCTCATACACTACTTCCCTTTGGAGGCTGATATATTTGATATCTTTGACATCTCTACAGCTTTTCCAACTAAAGTCGATGTCCATTGTGGAACGTATGAATACCCCTCTCCTCCAATGGAAATATACTTGGTGGAATGGCGTTTCTGCTGGTTTCTCTAGCCAGAGAGAAACAATCGTCTTTTTACAGGCACTTCTAGATCACCAGCTCATCTGTGTGATGATATCAAAATGACTACTTCCTCTTGGTCCACAAAATCGACATTCTTTTGTAATTACGACATTTCCATAATTTCTCTAAACTGGAGCGTTTTTATTTAGCCTCATCTTCTTGGTACATTTCTCACATACTTTTTTTAATGAATTGGTGTGTCGTTTTTTTTTCCTTAAAAAAAAGATGGGGAGATTTAAAAGTTCTTTAAAAGTCATTAAAAAGCTTATTCATTAAATTACTTGCTTGTCATTGAAACTAGGTAGGAATATTGATTTTTTTAATTAGAAAGAAAAATTAACTCGCACTCGGGAGAGACAATTGAGAATTGAGAGTTCTTGGTGTAAAGTTTTAACAGTTCATGGGCGATTTATATGTGGTACTCAAGAGAGTTAAAAATCCAATCCAGATGATGACATTCCTATTAACTTAGTAAATAACTTTGACTACTAAAATGTTATTTCAACTCCAAGTAATACCAAGCRTTACTCGTTTTGTCTCGTGTTAAAAGCGAATATTATAAATACATATAAAACATTAACATAATCTCACTTATACTAACTTAGACTTTCAAACCAAATCAAAGTTTTAAACTGAGATTTGACCATGTTAGTTGCACCAAGGAAACTTTGCCGGAAACTTTCCCAACACATCACACCAATTGCAAAAGAAACTTGGAACCCATCTCTTGCCAAGTAGTCAAATTCAAGTGTTTGTTGAATCACTCTTTTTACCCCAAAGTCACACTTCAAAGTGTTCACAATGGCACTTGTTTGGCTGTGTGAGAAAACAAACACTTGGAGACAAATAAAAGAGAGGGAAATTGCTTGTTGGGTCCTTCCAAGATACAGATCTCAAAGCTGGTGTCAGTAAAACTGATTCCCTCTTTGCCTCGGATCTTAAACCTGTTACTTTTTTTTTTCTTTTTTCTTTTCTTAATTTATTGCTTTATTAAGAAACAGTGAAGATTTAGACGTGTTTGTCATTATGTTTTGATAAAATGATAGTTTTACACAATTGACTTCAACATTAATATATTGTTTGTTTCCATTGCTTAGAATACTTAAAAATAAAAAGGGAAACAAATATTGTTTAATAAAGGTGGTAAAAGGAACCATGCCTTTTAGGAATTAGGAATCTCAAAGTTAAAAGGTCATCAACAAACACTTTTCAATATGTTTTAAAATCTTATCGGAAAAAAAAAAAGAAAGAAAGATAATTTATGACATTACTTCCAAATCGAATATGTCATTTTAAAGTACTTTCTCAGTCCAGAAGTTATTATGTTGATTAGACCCTTGAAAATAAAATAATGTAAAATGTATAAACAGTTGATTAGACCCTTGAAATTGTGTAAACAGCCTTTTTTTTTTCACTTTAATTATATTTTAGCAATTATATTTAAGTTTTTAGCTTTGAAATAATACTGTTATAGTCTTGAACACACTCAGAAAGATTAGGTTTTGGTTCAATTGTTTGTATTAAACAAAAAGATATAATAGAATATTAACAACTCAAATATACACAGGTCATACAAATTTTCTATTAAATGCCTTACGCAAATTCAATAGCAAAAGTGAATAAAAAAACTATGCAGAGTTTAGATATCAAAGCTAACATATACATGGTTTAGTCTCCCATATTTTAATGTTTTTCAATTTATTCCATATTTTTCAAGAAGTTTTAATTAATATTTTTCAATTATATCATTTATATTTGGTAAGTGTTAAAATCGTATGATACTTAGAAAAGTTGATATAAATTTATAGGAAAAATTACTCCAACTAAAACAAAAAAAATTTCTGTTTCCTCCCCCAAATTTCTAAATTTCTAAATCGGTGGCAAAATTTTCAAAATTTTTTATTAGACTAACCATCAGATCATGTAAGTTTTTATTCTAAACTAATTTAAATATCCACCAACGAGAATAATATAATTAAAAACTGTTAGAACATAAGGGACTAAAATTGAAAAAACACTGAAAAGTTAAGGACTAAAACATATATTTAACATACTTTCAACTTTAGAACGAATGAAACAAAATAAGTAGGTTAAAAAACACTTTTGGTTCCTACAATTTCATTAAAGTAACGATTTAGTTCCAYAGTATAATTTGTAACAATTTAATCCCTATACTTTAAAAGTGATAACAATTTAGTTTCTCAACTTTATTTGTAACAATTTAGTCCGTATATTTTAAAATTTGTAACAATTTAATCCTTACCATAAGATCAAAATTAACTGTCAGACTTTTATTACATAACAATTTAAGCTTTGTAGTCTATATAAACAAATTTTTGGTTCCTCATCATCTTATCAATCTTCATACATATGAAACTCCATTAAATCTTAACAATATTTGTTACGATAGAAACTAAATCATTACAAATTTTAAACTACAATGACTAAATTTTTCACACACTATTACAAATTTAAAAATACATAGACTAAATCGTTACTCAAACGAAACGAAGAGTGACTTGTATATCAAACAGTAGAAATAACAAAAAAAAAGCATACAAAATGAATCAAAATAAGACATAGGAGTAGGACATGAATGATGATGATGATAACTACTTACTACGCAGCCAAATTAAAGATGGGGGAAGGAGGTAGCTAGAGAGTAGCAGTCAATAAATGAACAAGAGAAACGAAAAGTGAATGGGGAAAGAAACTGAAAAGAAAAGCAAGAACAGGGAAGGGAGAAATTTTAATTGTAATTTATATATATTTTTTTTGCATGCATGGAGCAGGAAAAAGTAGTTTAGAAGAGAGAGAGAGAGAGAGAGAGAGAGAGACAGAAATAGAAATGATGAGAGAGTGGAGAAGGGAAAGGGCATGCACATTATTATGAATGAATAAGGCTAAAGAGGCAAACAACAGGTGTCTGAAAATCTATCGTAGTATCTGTTTGTAGTTGTTCTGAAAAGGAAAAAAGGAAGGCCTTTGGGGGTGAAACCCTAAAAAGAGTAATCCCGCTCTCCCAGTGGTCCCTTCTTCTTTCTTTTACCTCTGCTGACACAATGGGCTAAAGCCTAAACCCCTGCTTCAAAGTCTTAGTAGTAGTAGTAGTTGTTGTAGTATTAGTGCTACTGCTACTCCAACTTACACTGCAAATTTTGCAAAGTGATATGTGAACAGTACAATCTGTGACTGCACTGCAACAAATTGTCAGCATATTGTCTGCACTCACTGAATTCACTTGACCACAAAAAATTTCCTCTCTCTTTCTCTTTCTCTTTCTCTCTCATTTATTATTATATATGGGAGAGCAAAAAAGAAAGGGACTTCCAACAATTAATGTCATGTTTTTTGATATACAAAACCTTGGATTTCATTACACTGTGTTACTGTTTGTCTTCATCTTCTCCCTCTTTTCTCCCTCTCTCTCTTGCCCTGTGTCAGTCTCCCCAAACCCCTTCAAATTGAGAAATTTTGTTCACAGGTGTGTCAACTGAACTGACACTATAAATTTTGTATTTTACCATATGAATTACTCTCACTCTTCCACTTCCCACATTTACTAGGACTAATTAAAATTCAACTGTTTCCCAAAGAAAAAGGACTCCTCCACTCAAAGATAATGTGTGTGTGTGTGTGTGTGTGTGTATATATATATGTGTACAGGAAAGATTCTAGGATGTAGGATATAGCTGTAATTTTAACCAATTTTGGTTCGTCTGAAGGGAAAAAAAAGGAAAAAGAAAACCAAACAGAGCAATTAATTGAAATATTGCTTTTCTTCTATAGGAATCACTTGATGGAAATTTCTTCCAGGGAAAAGAAAGGAAAAAAATTATCAAAAGGCCATGCATTACATGTATGGATACATATATATAATTAATGAGTAGACTGAAAGGTCTTGGAAAACGAATTTTATTAATTTTTTTTTACTCCTTTACCCAGCTATTAAGATATATATATATATATATCTCAACATAATTTTCAGCCCCTTCCCTCCCATATTAATTGTGACTGTCTCTACTTCCAAACATCAGACACAGGTATTTTGTAGGAGCATAGGAAGCGAAGAACACATAAATAAGAGAGAAGTAGCAGCTAAAAACACACGTATATAAAATTTGAGATAATAATAATGCAGATATGGAAATTATTATGAAAATTTAATGAAAAATAGACCAGCCTTGACCTCCATTTACACGTTGATGATGATGAAGAATATCATTATTATCATTATTATTTTTATCAATGTCCCAATCATCATCCACGTCGTCCTCATCGTCGTCATCAACCTCGCAAACTTGGACGGTATGCGGGGCATGGCCGTCGCCGAAGGCTCGGACGTGGTCCTTGAGGGACCGCTTGTGCTTAAAATCAGAGCCACAGATGCAGAACCAAAGCTTCCCACAGTTCTTCTCGTGGGTCCGCCAGTCTCCGCGGACGGCGAAGGGCTTCCCACACTTCCTACAACTGAAGGGCTTAGCCCCATGCTTCCTCTTGTAATGGGTCTGCAGAGTTCTGAAATCCTTCAGTGGCCTTGACCTTGGGTGCTCTATGTTGTTTCTGCACCCCTCTGCGCAGCAATAGCATGGCAGTCGCAGCATTGAAGACGCTGGCTTTGACCCTCTTAACGACTCTGGCCCTTTTCTATACTGTGAACCATGCCCCCACATGTGCATCTGCGTYCCGTAACCATTTCGTTTTTAGTTTTATATTTTTCATGGCCAGGGCTTGTTTCTTGAATTCTTAAGCAGATTTCGAGAATAAGTTTGTAAAAGCAGCTAAATCAAAGGAACAAAATACAAACAAAGAAAATAGAAGGGTTATAGAAAGAGGCTTAGAAAATTTTCGATTTGAAGCTATTTTAGTGTCAATTTAGCCTCTGTGGTGCTTGGGTTTTGTTCTAATCTTTTTCTTTTTTTTCGAATTTTTTGTATGCTTTGTTAASAAGTCGAATCTTATATTTTCCTACTAAAAAACTAAAACTTGAAACAAGCATTGTTAGAAACATTGGATTTTTTTTATGCTTTGTTAACGGGTAACATTAAATTTTAAGGTGGAAGTCGAATCTTATATTTTCCTACTAAAAAACTAAAACTTGAAACAAGCATTGTTAGAAACATTGGATTTTTTTTATGCTTTGTTAACGGGTAACATTAAATTTTAAGGTGGAAGTCGAATCTTATATTTTCCTACTAAAAAACTAAAACTTGAAACAAGCATTGTTAGAAACATTGGATTTTTTTTATGCTTTGTTAACGGGTAACATTAAATTTTAAGGTGGAAGTCGAATCTTATATTTTCCTTCTTCCATGAACTCAAAAATCAAAACTTGAAACAAGCATTAGTAGAAACATTGGTTTTTTTGGATAAAAAAACAGAACAAAGCAAACCTAGACGAAAAGCAGTGATATAGTTGAGTTGAGCCCTCGAAAGTTTGAAAATCCAAAAAAAGTGTCTGTCGATGTTGCAAATCAAACTGAAAWTTTTTGAAAAAACGTGCAAGTTTTCAGAACACTAGATTAAAAAATTTTGACATTCGTGAAAAAAAAGAAAGAAAAAAACCTGCATGTTGTTGTATCTGTTGAAGGTTTTGCTGCAGACAGTGCAGGAGAACTGGGTGGGTCCAACGAGGATTTGGGCAGGCGTAGGAATCCAGTACTGGCCGTCAACAGGTCGGGCGGCGCCGTCGGTGGAGTCTGCGGCGGCGGCAAGAGGCGGGCCGATATGCATTGCGACGGTGACAGCTGCAGCTCCATGAGTAGGGTTATTCTGAGGGTGTTTTTGGTATTTTGAGGAAATGGAAGCGTGGCGTTGGCCGGGAGGGCAGAGGGAGAGGAAAATGGAGTCTTCTCCTTCTTCATCGGGTTCCAAACAGGCGCTCTCGCTAGATGATATGCAAGTGAAGTTGGAACTCTGCATGTTGCGCTGAGCTTAATAATAGAAGAGGAGAGAAGAGAGAGAGGAGATCAGGATTAGATAGGTGGGGAGAGAAGGGGAAAAGGGCAATAAATAAATAAACTAATGCCTGCTTTGGAGTTCTAACTCGGTTTTTTTAGTGCAACAAATATGAACCGGGTATTGGTAGCCCGTCCAAACAAGAGAACCTCCTACAATAGTAGGATATTGTCTCCGTTTTGGGCATAGATCTCACAGATTTGCTTTTGGTTTTACAAAAAATATTTCGTGCAAGAAATTTTTSTCTCTCATGTGTATGTATCTAAAATCTTCTATCTTCTTAACTAATGTAAGACTTTGTTTGCATTCATTACCAACACAATAGTATATGATATTGTTCTCTTTATACATGAATTTTTTATGAATTTACTTTTGGTTTCATCAAAAAATTCTTAGATGTTGTCTCTTGTATGTATATCTAAAATCTTCTCTTTTTCTAGCTAACGTATGACTTTGTTTACACTTCTTACAAACACAAATAATATGATATTGTCCATTTTAGACATAAGTTTTTTAGATTTGTTTTTGGTTTCACCAAAAAGATCTCATACCAATAGAGATGTTGTCTCTCATCTATATATCCAAAATCTTCTCTTTTCCTGGCTAAGTTAACATGAGACTTTGTTTGTAATCCTTACTAACCTAGAATGAGAATATTCAAACCAACGATATTTTAGAACTAATTGAGCTATATCCGGGTCGGGGTAACAATTATTAAGAGAGAGTGCACGTGGTGAGGTGTAGATTGATAAACGTTGAGGTTCTGGTGAAGTTTTGGGGAATGGAGGGAGACAAGTAACCGGCAAAGGAGGAGTAGTTGTGGCCCAATTCCATGCCTAAAATGGTGTACCCTCTCTGTTTCTGGGGGAGGGCTAGGCTTAAGCCTAGAGTGAGGAATGATATATAGATAGAGAAGGCAAATAGAGGATGAGGACATGGAAAACTGTACAATAGAAGGCGTGGGTCACTCTCTCCCACTTTTGTTAATAAAGGGGAGATGCTGATAGTGGCAGTCATGGAGAGAGGGTAAAAAAAATAAATTTCTTTTTTTTTTTTTGTTTTTCTTTTCTTTGGGACACTGTTTGCAACTCGAGAAGACGATCTGTTTTGATTGAGAAAGATGCTACCAGTTCTGTAGGTTTGTTTAGGACAAGGAAGAGAGGCAAAAAATGTGTCAAATTCTTCCCTTTTTCTTCTCTTTTTCGAATAATGTTATTATCGAATATATGTATTTATGTCTATTGTGTTTTCGTGACATTATTTTTCCAGGTAATGATTTTCCTAATTCTAGAAATTACTACTTTTTCTTTTTCTTTTTGGGTTACCGTTAGGTATTAGTATCTGAATTCATCTAGGGCTCACATGCACTGAGATTTAACCCTTTTTTTCCTTATTCATCTACTTAATTTTAACTTCAACTAATTAAACCCTCTTGTACAAACTCAAAGGCCGGCAGATTTTGATACCTAAGAGACCATTCTTATTAAACAAGGAAGTTTTCAACTTTTTTCCATCACCCGTAAATTGCCCGCCATTTCGCATAACCCCTTGTGGGGCACCGTCTATAAATTGGGGTATCTGCGGCTACTACCGAATTATCCAACAAGTGAGACTCAAACCTGGATATTGGGTGTCAACATCCAACCATGAAACCACTCCACCACTCACGCACTATAGGAAATTTTCAATTTTTATCCAATGAATTTCACAATGTTAAATCAATTATTACTCTAAATTTGAAATTCCATACAATTTAACGTTATATTTAGAAAATTGTTGTAATTTTTACCTTATATTTGTTTGACTACTATTACATTTATCCATTAACTAATTTCAACCAAAAAAATAAAACAAGGTAAAAATCTTTCAAGACCTGATAAATTTTTAACAAAAATCAAGCTCTAACAAATTAATTCACAAAATTAAGCTACCACGTATCTAGAATTGCTAACCACAAATATACAAGTGAAGTTTTTAATGTGATTAGGCAAAAGAGTGYTGTCAATTTCTACTTCACTCAACTATAGCAGATACAATTATTGAAAGATGAAGAGAATTAAATCAATGTAAAAATCCTCTGTCAAGTCTATGAAATTCAACCTTGCTGTCTCTCAAGGCATATATACAGGTTTCTTCACCAATTTTTGGGACTTGCTTCTGCCCAAAAAAAAATGTAAATTCCTCATATGGTGCATTCTCCACCGAGGGCTCAATACACAAGAAAAGCTTCAACAAAGGTATCCTTTTCTTTGTTTGCAATCCAAATTGGTGTGTATTATGTCAGCGCTCTCAGGAATCTTTGGACCATCTTTTCATTCCCCTCCTCCCGCTCCCTAGACGCATTGAGTCTTTTCTTAAGGAATCCTTATATCACTTGAACGGTAATAGAAGATCTATTCCTTTGTGGGATCTCTCATTTGGAGCATATGGTTGGAGTGCAAATTTTCTCTGATTTTTTTAGATATTTATCTTCACCTTTGGGAAGATATTAAGACCTTAGCATCTTCATGGTCTACAAAGTCTCCACTTTTTTGTAATTATGATATATCAACCATTTCACTTAATTGGAGTGCATGTGTCTAGCCTCCCTTTTGTATGTATATTTCTCACATACTTTATGAATAAAATGACAGTTTCGTTTAAAAAAAAAATCAATGTAAAAATCAGAACAAATATTGGTGAAAGTAATATCAATATGAAGAATATTCTCAAAGAATTATTTTCACCTAAAATTTGATAACTAAATACTGAATGATAATAGATTGTATAAGCAAAGAATATTTAAATCTTCCGAACACAAGCTAAACATCTTTGTAGATCATTAAACTAGTATTCATATTAAATTTCAATAATTAGGAAAGGTAAGTCTAATTCTTTTAGTGACTTTTAAAGAGTTTCTAAATCTTTCAGAGTTTAGAGTGGCCTCTTTAGTCATGCATTCAAATTTTGTTGTAAACCCCCCTTATTCTAAGTGTAGGAATTGAAACCTAAGTTCAATCCATTCATAAAAAAGATTAAAAGCATTAAGCACATAGATATAAATGAATAGACAAATAACCAACTCATAGCAAAATCAAGAAAGTTGAAGGAAGAGAAGAAAACTAGTGTCGTCATGTAAATTATCTGCCCCTTAACAATCTCGACCCTTCATAAAACTTATTTTCTTAACTCTTCAATAGTCTTCTTTGTGTAGGATCGATGTGGCAACACTAGAGGGGTGAATTGGGTTGCTTACGAACTCGTAGATTTTAAAAAATAATTTTAAGAATAATAAAAAATTAAACGAAATTTAAATGCACAAGTTAAAGTGTAGAGAGAGATGACACCATAAATTTCTACAGTGGTTTCGAAGTCGCTACTCCACTCCCCAAGACTTCTTCTTGGGTATTTTACTACAACGACTCTCTTGCGGGTGAGAACCAAACCGATCGACACTCTTTTTGTCCTAGGCTAAAGAGAAACCCACAATCCTTTTAACTGGTTCAGGATCTAATCAATTGGGTTTTCTCACAACCTAATGTGTGCCCACACCTTAATACAAAACCCAAAATGTGAAACAAGTAATACAAATAAAGTACCTCACTAAGGTAGATTTACAAATTCCGCACTAAAGCAATAGCTAAAAAGCTACACTCTATATCTCTCACAAAAAAAATATGGACAACTTTTTGTGTGGAGAGAAGGAAAATTTGAGAGCACATGACTTGAAAGGAGAAAGATATTTACTTTGATAATTGGTGTGAAGAATGATGAATCTAGTGGCTTTAAATAGAGTTTTGAAGATAAAATTTGACCATTGGATTTAGGGCAATAAAAGATGGATGATGGAGATTAAAAGTAGAGATAAAGAAAAGAATGAAGAGAATTATGGAGATTTGGAGAAATTGGTCCAGATTGAGAAATTATGTGAAATTGAGACAAGATTGTGGAACTGAGAGAATTATGAGAATGTGATTTGTTGAAATTGAAAGCACCACGTGTCGTCACATGATCTGTCGACGTCATCCACCACGTCACCAGATTTATTGATGCCACGACTTACTGCCACGTCATTGCCACAGTGGCATAATTTGACTATTAGATGTCACATCACATGTCATATGTGTTTTTTCTTCCTCAACTTGTTTTGGCTATAATTTATTCGTTTGAACTCTAATTTGAGTGATTTAAAATTCATTGAATTCGTCTTTCCAAGCCCTACGCTATGGACACTTGAAACACTAAAATCATCAGTAAATAAAGTTTGTTATCATCAAAATACTTTGTGTGATTGAAGCTCGTAAAGCTAACACTTTGTCCTCCGCATTTACCTAATTGACACATCTGAAGGAATTAATGAGGCTCATGGGCAATGTCTTAATTTATAGAAACTTACACGTCAAAAGTTGAAACATCGCCTTCAACATCAAGACATTGTACTTTATGGGTGTGGATTCCTCAAGTGATAGCATCTCAATGCTCTTAGCTAAAAGAATCAATGGACCAATAAGACAATTTTAGTAGAATTCACCGTATTTCTGATCTTGACCCATGGTGATTATATACGTTACAAAATACCGCTCGAAGGGGTTCTTCAATAAAGGAAAGAAAGTAAAAATAGTGCAAGATTTTAGCTGGCCCTAATAGTCAGCAATCTCAACG